TGTGTGTGGTGTATGTGGTGTGTATGTGTGTGGTGTGTGTATGTGTATGGTGTGTGGTGTGTTGTGTGTGTGGTGTGTGTGGTGTTGTGTGTATGGTGTGTGGTGTGTGGCGTGTTACGTGGTGTATGTAATAAATGTGTGTGGTGTGTGGTGTGGTGTGTGTTGTGTCACCACCATCAGCCAGGCCACGGTTTTGATCCCAACTGATGAGTTGTGTTTGGTGCCGCTGTGGCCTCCCCTGGGGACTGATGAGTTGTGTGTGGTGCAGCTGTGGCCTCCCCGGGGCAGGGTGCGGTGGGGATGGGCCACCAGCCCGTGCCTTGCAGCTGTGCTTCCCCTTCCGCTCTGAGCAGCAGCGTGTGTGGCTCCTTGTTCCCAGGGAAGAGGGTGGCAGCAGAGGCAGCCACGGTATTTAAGGCCCTCGGTGGGCAGCTGGGTGCGCAGGCTCACACCTGCAATCCCAGCACTCTGGGTGGCCCATGTGAGAGGATCTTTTGAGCCCAGGAGTTCGAGACCAGCCTGCGCAACACAGCCAAAACCCTGTCTCTACTAACATTTAAAAAAAAAGAAAAAAGAAGTAAGTCCCTTGTCTCCAGAAGCTGTGATCAGTGTGACTGATGAAGCTCCCAGGGGCTTCTGACAGAAACGCCCAGCTCCACTGAGGAACCCTGGCCAGGCACGGTGTTCAGATCGGGGCTTTGGGCCTGGAAACAGAGTTGCTGCTAGTCCCTCGGCCCCTCTGTCCTCGCGGGACCTGCCTGGTCTGTGTGCCTAGCATCGGCTTCCTGGCTGGTGACTCTTTCCTTGTGTGCCGCCTTCTCTCTGACGCAGGCCAGCGGAGCCCACGGACTTCCTGACACTCTTCGAGGGTAGTCCCAGTGGGAAAAAGAGGCCAGCCAGCCTGAGCACAGCCCCCAGCGAGAAGGGAGCCACCTGGAACGTCCTGGTAAGGTGGTGCGTGCGGCCGCGCGTCTTGGTCTCTGCGATGGGATTGTGGCCTGGTTCCTAATTTGTTGTCACTGCCTTTGCAAAAGGGCACTGCAGGGAGGGTGTCGAGCTTACATCTCACATGGCAGACCCTGGGATATCCACCTGCCTGTGTGGGAAGTCAGGGGCTCCTCCCGTTTGTGGGAGAGGCAAGGAAGGGACGGGGTGGCTGGGTGTGTGCGGGCGGTGTCACGGGCTGAGCTGTCTAACAGGATGACCAGCCCCGGGGTTTCACCTTGCCACCCAATGCCCGGAGTTCCAGTGCCCTTGACTCACCGGCGGGCCCGCGGAGGAAAGAATGCACCATGGCCCTGGCCCCCAACTTCACTGCTAACAACAGGTACGACCTGTGCAGGTGCCCACGACATGCACCGATGGGAGGCTCCTGGAGTGGAAACTGTGTGTATCTTTGTCTTGTTTATGGCTGGTTCAGGGTGCTTTGGAATGAATGAATGAATGAGTGAGTGAGTGAAAGAATGGCTTTCATTCCCAAGGGCACAGGCAGGAGGCTGCCAGGTGGCGTCTTGCACACGAGGGGCTCTTGGCCCAGGCTTTGCTCTTACAGCGTTTCAGGCCATGGGGAGGCTCACATGGGGCTGAGAGGGTGGGGTCTGGGGAGGGACCTTGGCCGAGGAGGTTTGTAGGGGGCCTAGGGAAGCCCCAAAATAAATGGACTCCAGGCAGCTGCCTCTGAGCCTTGAAGGAGAGTGTAGGCTCCTTGGGCTAGGCCTCAGAGGACCCATGAGTGGAAGGGATTGGGGACACATTTTTCCTCTGGCATTTAGAGTCTTTGCCAAAGGAATAGTCTCAGGGGAAAGACCGTGTGGTTATTCACCAGGGTTGGCACAGGAAGAATTCTTGCCTTTTTTTTTTTTCTTTTTTTTTTTTTTGAGACGGAGTCTTGCTCTGTCACCGGGCTGGAGTGCAGTGGCACAATCTCGGCTCACTGCAACTTCTGACTCCCTGGTTCAAGCGATTCTCCAGCCTCAGCCTCCCAGTAGCTGAGATTATAGGCACGTGCCACCACGCCCAACTAATTTTTGTATTTTTTTTTGGAGAGATAGGGTTTCACCATGTTCCCTAGGATGGTCTTGATCTCCTGACCTCATGATCCACCCGCCTTGGCCTCCCAAAGTGCTGGGATTACAGGCGTCGCACCCAGCCCAATTCTTGCTTTAAGTTAGAGACAGGTTCTCATCTGTCACCCTGACTGGCGTCCACGATCATAGCTCACTGCAGCCTCTACCTCCTGGGCTCAAGCCTTTGGAGTAGCTGGGACCACAGGTGCACACCACCACTCCTAGCTAATTTTTAAATTTGTTGTAGAGATGAAGTCTCACTGTGTTGCCCAGGCTGGTCTCAAACTCCTGGGCTCAAGCAATCCTCCCTCCTCGGCCTGCCCCAAAGCCCTGGGATTACAGGTGTGAGCCCCCATACCTGGCCTGAAAATTTGCCTTAGTATTATCAGAGTTACATGTGCATACACAGTGAAAATGTCAAACAGCACCATAGGCTTAAAA